CTTAAAGTTTAATTACTGTTGAAATGAAAGGCGGTAAGAAATTCAATCAGGTGCATTTTAATTGGCAGAAATATTTAAAGAACATTAACTTTCCCATAAAACTGACAGTACCCTTTGGTCACTGACATGCCTAAACAAGTAGGTTTCTTGAATAAGGAAATTTGTATTGATAGGTTTTTATATTTATGTTTAAGCAACCTTGGAATTTATAAAGGAATACACTTTAATAAAAGATAAAACAAGAGATTCAAACCCAGGGTTTGTTTTTGCATTTGAATATCGTTCTCTTAGACATGTTCCTTTGTATTACTATACTTTTGTATTTTGTATTACTAAACTGCCATTATAATTTAAGTGAAAATAAGTTGATCAGATCCTAAATGCCTTAAGCCATCAGCCCTCATGCAACATTTACTCTAACAGCTATAATTCAATTCTCAGTATTCAGTTCTCAATATGATATTCAATTCTCAATATCCTTTACCAGCTTCAGTTGATACTTCTTTTTCTTGGTGAAAAAAACCAGTCAGGTTACTGCAGAAGAAAGCATTATCTGAAGTCCCTTTGTTTGGCTACTGGGCCTTCTGATAGATAGCTAGGCTGAGAGTTCAGATGGATAGCGTTAATTAAATAAAATGTTGCCAAAAGAGCAAATGCACAATGGCTATTAACGATACAGTAGTTTCCCAGTTCATAGCAGTGAGGAAAAATACCTAATTCTTGTTCATTCTTGCCTTCATGGCAAATACTCTTTGAAAAGAAGGAAAACTATGGAATTATATATATCAAATCTTTGGTGGAAAAGCCATTCTCTTAAATGACTATCTTTAAGTGTAGTCAAATAATTCTCCTTAAAAATATGTTGACATTTTAATCCTTATTGTTAGAGTTAATAAACCCCTCCGGTCAGTTTGTCAAAAGCCCAAAATACACTTCGGAAGCTTTGTCTCACTATATATAACTAAAACTCTTCTGATGAATTCTTGATGAAAGAATTAGTGTCAGTTTATTAGGTCCAAAAAAATCCATGTTTTATCTGTGTGTGTGTGTGTGTGTATGTGTACATATATAATGCTAAAAATTTCATCTCAAGAAATGTAATTTAACTTCTTTTTTTGCATTATCTCTTTAGAAACTGGTACCCTAAGGCTTGGCTTTTTAACTTTAGGCATTTTTTTTCATCCCGTGAGCATCAGTTTCTTCATCTGTCAGGGGAAATAATAATACCTACCTTACAAGCATGTGGTAAGGCTTATACCAAATAATGCATGTGAAGTGTCCAACACCATGCCCAAAGCATAGCAGACTCTCCATGCATTTTGATTTCTTCTCTTTTCCCCACAGCACTCCCCAGTCAAAAGTCAAATTTCAAACTGGAATTTTTGATAAGTAGGTTGTATAGAATAGGGTCACCAGATCTCATTGAGGTGTGGAAAATGAAACGGATCAAAGATATAATAAAGGCACACTACTTAAGCCCATGTGCTTTTTCATAGATATTTTATAAAACCTAAATTCTCTGTATCTAAAGAGATCCAAATACTCAGTCAACAAAACAGAAGCAAAACCCCAGATATGATAATTTCTACAGAAGTCCAAAGGGAAGTTCTCAAGTTTACTTGTATACCTCCAAAACTTAAGAACAGAAACACAAGGAGAAAGGGAGCTATACAAAATGCATACATTTTCCCCTGTTGAATACACACACACATACACACATGAACATTTACTAACCAGAGCCACGAAATCAGAAGGAAAGCTACAAGGCAAAGGAAGCATCATTAATTACTGAGATTTTCCTTAACAGCTATATTTCTATTACACATGATAAACTAATAAGCAGATTAAAACAACTAATACATTACTTAATTTAATTCGAGTGGGATAGTAAACAGTTTACAGAATAATTTCTCTTCTCCTAAAACATTTACCCAAAAGTGCATTAGGTGACTTCTAAATGGATTGGGTTTATCAGCTCAAGCTGAAAATCGGGGGAGGGGGAAGACAGAGAAATGTGTCCTGAATTTTAATAGTATGTCATTGTATGTGGGTGAATCTTAACATGTCATTTGGAAGTGACTGCATTTACTGCAACAACCCATATGTTACAGTTTCTCTGCTCAGCACTGCATGCAGTAGCAATAGTTCACTCAATATCATCTTGACAGAAGCCTTCAAGATGAACCCAAGTTATGAATGGTGTGTAGGTATGGCATGAAATTATACAGACTGGCCAACTCTCTCTTTGTATGTGATAATACTAAGAAGGCAGTTTCCCTAAATCTTTGAGTTGAGATTAGCATTTTTTTTAAAAGAATAATGTTAAGAAATGCTTGTTCAAATATGTGGTCCTTAATGAAACAGCAGTCTGTATTAATTTGCATTAAGTTTCAGGAAGAGAATTCCCTAAACAAAATCTACATGAAAAAATGTTATGCTAGAGTGGTCTCCATAATGGGTTTTAGAATGTTTAAATGTAAATTGCCGTGGGGGGGAGGGGAATGTGGAAAAAGCAATGGTTATATGAGCACAACCAACCTTAGAATTTAATGATAAGACATTAGAAATTGGAATTTTAGCCAATCTTATCCCTAGACAAAATTTAAAATGTATTTATTCCCTCTATGTTCATTATTTTCCTGACCAACCTGATAGTTCAATATTTTTGTTTATATTTAACAAGAACTAATTCAAAACTATTTGAATCATTTAAAGTTATAAATTCCAAGGGGAAAAAAAACTAAATACAAGCTGATTACAAATGCAAATAGAAAACATTGCTCATTACAATAATATTCACCCAAAAAAATAAGCCAATTACAAGCAGTGTCCTTTGACATATGCATTAAAAATCATGCAGCAGCTCAGTTAATTTAAATATGTATGCTTACATGTGCACACATACACACAACTGAAACACAAACACCAAGTAGGAGATTTTAAAAGAAAGAAACCACATATATTTCCCCAATGAATCAGGACCTCAAAAAGAAATGCGACAATCAAATCGGAAACAATACTAATTAGAAAGCATCACATAATATAAGCAAGAAGAAATCCTTAAGGTGTAAAAAGACACTAAGTGACAAACATCCTTGTTTCTCCTATTGGAAAAGATAAAGTAGAATACCCAATTTCTGACTCAGATTTTTATATTCTGGAGGAAATCCAGTCTTATCTCCACCAAGCAAATTAGGTGATCATCTTTCAAAGTTACCATATATTTCTAAAAGACATAGAAGTACATTTTGTCACAATCCAAAAATCTACCCATTTCACCATTCAGATAAAACTTGTTGGCAGTACTGCAATGTTTTTCTTAGCAAACAGATCCATTTAGTACCAAGTTCATCGTGACATTTAGTTGATAGGACAGATACTCCATGCTTGACAGAATGCTTTCATTTAGTGCTTTTACCTGGTTATAAATTATTGGTACCACTATTTGCAACTTTTAAGATATGATTTACTAAAGGGAAAAGCAGGGACATTTCTAAAGCAGGGGTGCCTTTTGAGTGGGTAAACATAAGGTCCCCTGCCAGAAAGAGTGCTGGAAAATGAATGCACATATCTAATAAGGAAGTGGTTTAAAAGGGATGAATTCCCTGAGTCATTAAACAGGATATAAACCAAAGACAGGTTGTGCCACCTAGAGAAAAACTGGAAATCGTACATTGCCTCTTCAGTAATAAGCATTATTTCAAAAGCCTGAAACTTTTGGCATGCCCAATAACCAAACCACCCTCCATACCAACCCATCAAGCTGCTGAAATTTAAGCTCCCCTGACAACTCTGCCTTCTCCACACACCAGATTTGCCTCCTCCTCCTTTCCTCACTCACCCACCCACACAGCACCGTTTAACCTCAGCACCGACTGTTGCCACAGCCCATGCGGACCCAGCATCCTGAAACACATCCTATTCTAAAGCGTTTTCCTCGAAGCCAGGGCCGGCAGGGGTGGGAGGAGCAGGGGAATAAACCCTGGGGGCCCTTGCTAGCCAGGGTCCCTCTGGATGCTAGCACAGCCACGCGCACACCTCTTTAGCCCCGGGGGGCCTGCATAGGAAATTCTGGTGCACTCAGTACATCATATCCAGGTTACCGAGCTGAACTCCCTGGCCAACCTCAGCACAATCCAAACAGCATGGCATGACCTCAACAGAACCAAGCCTTTGAGGTGCAAAGGGCCTTCAACTTTCCTCTCCTCGAGTTACTCAGAAGCAACGTGCCCAGCACACTTTGTCAGGCAGAAGCACAAAAGGTCTACAAGCAACCTGGCATGGACAGCCGCCTTTACAAAAGAAAATAGACAGTAATTATGAAAAGCCCGCAGTCCTGCGGTATTAACTTGACAGCGGGAACTGCGCTAGGGCATAACTCATCTCCCAGGCATCACTCCCAGCCCCAGACCCTCAGCCTAGGGACAGCATTCCCCCTCCTCCCCTCCCCCTCCGGAGACCTGCGGCAGCGCTCACATCCCGCCCCCAAGCTCTTCCTCCTCCTGCTCCTCCTCCTCACTGAATCTCCAGCAACTTTGGGCACCGTAGCACCATCGAAGCCCAGCCAGAGGCGGGGACACCGCGAAGGCGGCCGCGGGAGAAGGAAAGTTTGAAAAGTCACTTAAAACACCGCAGGACCCCCCCACCAGCACCCACCCCATAGAAAGGCGCGCGGGGCTCCACGTGCGGGCGGGCCCTGGTGAAGCCAGAGTACCCCCTACGTAACCCCCCCCCGAAAAATCTTTCCCCAAGCGAAAAGTTCCCTGCTGCTGCACCCTCCCTCTTTCCCCTTCTTCCCGTCCCCCCACCCCCCCGCAAAGAAATCTCTTCCAGTTCGCACGGCGCCGCCTCTATCCGCCCGCGGCCCCGGAGGGCGCGGCGCCCCTCCCCCGTCGGCCGGTGGACAGGTCGGGGGGAGCTGGGGGAGAGGGAGGCACCGGGGGCGGCCCCTGGCCCGGACCCCCCTTCCCTGCCTTCCCCCGCCCCGTCGCCTCACTCACCTCTCTCCTGCTCTTCCGCCTGCAAGCAGATGGGGATATTCTTCTTCCAGCCCGGCATGGTGTCCGCTCCCTGCGCTCGCTCTCGGGCTCGCTCTTCCTCGCTCGCTCTCCCCCTCTCCCCGGGACTCGCCGCGCCTTCTCGCTCGCCCTCTCGGGCGGGCCGCTGCGCGCTCGGGGCTGCTCAGCGGGGTTGGGGCGCCGAGGCGGCTCCCGGGCACATCGAGGCGGCGCCGCGCGCCCCGCGCTCGCCTCAAACTCGCCGGCGGCTCCGGGTGGCGGCGGCCGGGCCGGCCGGGCCGGGCCGGGCCGGGCTGCCTGGGCTGCAGCAGCGGCCGCCGCGGCGTGGCCGGGAGGCCGGGCCGGGGGCGGGGAACGCGTGCAGGCCGAGAGCTGGGGACTGCGGAGCCCCCGGGAGGTGGGCGCCGGCGGGAGGGGTGGGCTCGCGCCGCCGCCTCCTGCCCCTCCTCCTCCTCCTTCTTCTTCCCCTTCCTTGTCTCTCCGCCACCAGCAGGTGGGACTCGGAGCCGCCGCCGCACAAAGCTCCGCCGGCGGCAGGACTGAGGCTGCGGGCTCCCCGGGCGCCTCTCGGCGGAGCCTCCCCCGAGACGCGCGCGAGGCTGAGCGGGCACGGAGGGGGCGCGCGCGCTCACACCCTCCGCGCCCCGGGCGGCCGGCCTGCGAGGCGCGCCCGGCCCGCCAGGTACCGAACTGGCACCGAGCCGCGGGTGCGGAGCCCAGGCCGCTCCGCCGCGGCCGCCACTTCCTCCCTCCCCAAACCCAACCCGGCGACTCCAGCGGCTTAGGCAACGACCTCGATGAAGTAGGGGGCAGTGTCCTTCCCTCTAGTCCCTCCTCCTCCTCGCCGCTCTCCCCCGCCCTGGCCGTCGCCCCCTCCCCCGAGTTGAGACTTCGCAGCCAGGGATTCGCTAACTTCGCCCTCAACTAAGGGAAATAGCAACTTTCGGGATGGCCAGCGCTGGTTCCAGAGATACGTCTTCTGGTGGAGTGGGAAGGGCGTGAGTGGAGAACCTCTTTTGTTTTAAATGAAGCAGGGAGACCTTGGCTAAGTGAATACTTAATCGCTGTCTTCAAGTATAAGAAGGGTTTTATGATCAGGTTTTATGATTAGTTTCTTTCCCTGTTATAAGCTCATGGAATATCGGTGGAAGAATGGATATGGGGGAGGGGGACAGCTTTTCTGTAGCCTGGAAGATTCTGCCCAGACATTGGGGGGCGGGGGGGCGCTTGCTTGTGATTTCAAAAGGATAATGCTAGGAAGGGCTCCTGACAGTCTTCCAGAGGACACTTGGCAACTGTCTGCCCTGTGGGGTTATGACATCCATCTGCCTCAAAGATGGGGGCCTGGCTAGATCATACCTGCTGAGTGTCTGTGTGGACTGAAGAATTTCGCCCCTGAGGCTGTAACTACTGGTTCGGAGGTGTTGGGGACCGACCACTGCACTGTTAGGACTCTCTCTGTCCTGCAGTTTATTTTGGCCTCTGAAGGAATTGCAGTTTCTCTCCCAAACTGAGGACATTGGTTCTTGCCAGCTTCTCCCGCTCTTCTCTTGGAAACATAATCACACAGCCAGAGAAATACAGTAATTACAAAAAACAGAAAGATAGGATTTTTTTTTTCCTTGCCACTGCATAATCAGTCTTATCAGGCTGGGATGTTTGCTCCTGCCACTGTCCCTTGGCTGGGTGGCCAGCTGTCATTCCAGAACTGTCCAGCTGCCAAAGACAAGTGGCAGTCTCTCCTAAGGCAAGGAGAGGCCCAGCCCAGGAGCTTCAAAGGTAAAGGAATTGAGGGCTGAAGGGAGGGCCGTGTCAAGTCATCCCAGGGGGTTATCAACAGAAATCCAGTCTGAGCTGCTCAAATCTTCTTTCCAGACTCTTTGAGAAGTAAAATCCAGAAAATCAATATCGTTGTCACACCTGTTACTCTTAAATGGTTCACCCTCCATCCTGAAATAAAGAAAACTGCTTGATACTTTCCTCTTGTCTTAATCTTATTTCAGGATCTGGTCCCACCAACCTTATGTAGAGAAAGACATTTGTCATTGATTTGATTCCCCCAAAGGAACAGGGCAAACCCAGCTATAACCAGGATAGCTGGTATATGTATATAGGAAAAGACCTAGGTTGTGACAACATAGAAATGACCACAACATTGGCTATACTTGCTTTTTGTTTTAATGGCATCTTATATAGCATTTTATATGTATGTGGTTGTTCTAACAAGCATAACCTAGAAGACCTGTACACTAGGGTGTGGATTGAATCGTACTCATATAATTACATTACAGTTAGTGGTGCAATTATCCTCCTAAGATGAGTGCAGATTATAGTTGATAAGAAATTCCAGCTCACAATTGTTAAAATGATAATATTTTAACTCAGGGAGACAAAATTCCTACTATGTGTTAGACTCTGGGCTAAGGCTAGAGATACAAGAAGAAAATTATAGTTTAGTAGTGGAAGATCAATTTAATACATAGGGTCAGATATTATTTACAGATTCTACAACTGAGAATGGTAAAAAAAAAAAAAAAAAAAAAAAAACCTCTTAAGGTTGGATTCATATATATCCCACCTCAAAGTACTTATTGTCCAAACATTTGTTCATCAATATTCAGTGTCTGGTATCATTTCTATATGTACATGTAAGTCATCAGTTAGGCTCTAAGCTCTGTCAGGGATAAGTATGGGTTATCTCTTGCATCCCCAGATCCAGGGACAGTAAGCGCTTGTCAGTGAAGGTTGATGATGATGGTATTTAACCTCACTTGGGCTATGTCTAGCACATCACCCCACACCCCCTAATGAATCCTTTTCATGACACTATGAGATCACTTGCTAATATCTAACCAGAAAAAAAACAAAAACAAAAAACTAAATCATTTAAAACTTAGTTCCATTGCCTGAAGTCACCTCATATTCCAAGCGTTATATATAAAAATCTATTCCAAGGAAATTGTAGTGCTATTGGGACCTTTATGAGGAAGATATCTACCAGCCAGTAGGATATGAGCTATAGTATTTTTCTCCTTCATTAAATTTGAAAATCAATGCCTCTTAAAGACTCCAACTACAATGCAATGTCTATTTCTAGACATCAGTTCACTTACATTAAGAATTTGTGGGAATGCCTGGCTGGCTCAGTCGGTAGAGCATGTGACTCTTAATCTCAGAGTCTTGAGTTCAAGCCCCACGTTGAGTGTGGAGCCTACTTTTAAAAAAGAATTTGTGCTCTTTTGTTGAACATAAATTTGTCCGACCAAGTTATCTGTGCAGTTTGAATGGTTTTACAGTCTGGGTTTACAGAATTCAGTTTATTTTTTTCAAAGATTTTATCTGTTTATTTATTGAGAGAGAGAGAGTGCACGCATGCACAAGCAGAGGGGGTGGGCAAAGGGAGAGAGAGAATCCCCAGCAGACTCCACACTGAGGGGGGAGCCTGATGCCGGGCTTGATCTCCCAAACCCCGAGATCATGACGTGAGCTGAAACCAAGAGCCAGATGCTTAAGCGACCGAGCCACCTAGGCTCCCCCAGAATTCAGTTTAATTTAATTGTTTAACTTTAACTAGTTAGTGTGCATAGTTGATTATAGAGGCTATAGGACCCATTTCTAAATGTGGTCTCACTTTATCTACTCTTCTATTTATCATCTTCAAAATAAAATGAAGAAAAGACATGTTCTCTTACTACTAGTACCTCCCTCCCCTGATAGAAAAGGAGCAAAAAACCTGGAAACCCAAAGCTTTAATTTTAGTGTTTGATCACCTTTTCAAGCTTACATGGATCCACCCAGGCTGTTAAAGAATTGAAAGCATGTGTGATAGTGAGAGCAGCTTCCCTTTCATTTCCTTTGTGCTCTGACAAGTGAGCTACCAGTCTCCTGGGCCTTCACTCCAACAGAGTGTTATGACTTCTTGGGACTGAATTTCATGAGTTTGAGGAGTCCCCTGGGAGATATAAAATCCCAGCTGTTACTTTGGATTTGCTCCAGGGCCTAAAAACATCCACAATATATTTTTTTTAATCGTGCATTGACTTTTACGAACACACACCCTGCATATTAAGCAGCCACCTGAAAGTTTCAACCCCGCTACCAAAAACCAGCACTTCTTTTCTATTGCATGCAGTGAATTCGAAAACTCTTTTCACACCTGATAGGCCCTTCTAGTGGGTACCCATGGAGTCTTTTAGATGTTAACTCACTTTTAGCTGCAAAACCTTTTTTAAACCTTTAATATGAAAGAAGAAGCTTCCTTGGATAGTTTATCTTCTTGGGGGAAGAAAAGAGCAGAAAGCAAACAGAATGAATCCTAGTGTTTTTACTTTAAAATCTTCAGTTAGGGGAATGTAACTACGGAAAGGGAAAACATGGAAGAAGAAACTCTAACATGAATAATTTAAGTAAGGCATGTGTGAAAGCAAAAAAAAAAAAAAAAAAGAAAAGGGGGGAGAGTTCATCTAAGAAAAACAGAGTATGGGGGCGCCTGGGTGGCTCAGTCGGTTAAGCGGCTGCCTTCGGCTCAGGTCATGATCCGGGGGTCCTGGGATTGAGCCCCGCATCGGGCTCCTTGCTCGGCAGGGAGCCTGCTTCTCCCCTGCCTGCCATTCCCCCTGCTTGTGCTTGCTCTCTGTCTCTCTCTCTGTGTCAAATAAATAAATAAATAAAAATCTAAAAAAAAAAAAGAAAAAGAAAAACAGAGTTGTTTTAAAATGACAAAATAGTTGGAGTCAGAGAGACAACAATGGTTTTTATGTTTCAATTTGACTGGGCTACTGAGTGCCCAGATACTTTAGTCAAACATTACTCTAGGCATTTCTGGGAGGGTGTTTTGGGATGAGACTAACATTTAAATCAGTAGACTGAGTAAAGCAGATTGCTCTCCCTAATGTGGGTGGCCCTCATCCAACCAGTTGAAGGTCTGAATAGAACAAAAAGGCTGACTCTTCTGGGAGGGAGAGAGAATTCCTCCTGCCTGGCTGCCTTTGAACCAGGACATCAGCTTTCTCCTGCCTTTGGACTTACACTGAAACATCACTTCCCCCTGTGTCTCAAGGCTGCCAGCCTTTGAACGGGAACCACACCACTGGATCCCCTGGGTCTCAGGCCTTGGGACTCAGACTGGAACTGAAACAGCAGCTCTCCTGGGTGACCAGCCTGCTGACTGCAAATCGTGGGACTTGTCAGCCTCCATAATCACATGAGCCACATCAGTAGAACAAAGCTCTGGATACACACGTGCCCTATCGGTTCTGTTTCTCCTAGAAACCTGACTAATACAGAGACCTATCCAAACCCTGCCTTCACCACACACTAACTTTATAACTCTGG